AAGATTCCAGGGAAGCCATGTACAGGTGTCTTTTTATTACCATACAGCTGTTGTCTGCCAGGAAGTGAACTAGAGGTTGCTTTTACAATCGTTGATCCTCTGAGCATGTCTATAGTGTACAGAAGGATTGTCTCCTCTCTAGAACTGGGATAGCTGAGATTGGGGATGGTTAACATCAAGGCATTTCCCTTCTGAACCCTAGTCACTGACAAGAACATCAAGTCTTTCCATGTGGCATTTTGCAGTGGGGAATTGGTGATGTCATTCTCTGATTCTTGAAGAATAAGAAGCAAAAATAAATAGCTGAACGGTTGGCAGTGGTGGAAGGAGGTTCTCGGTGTTTCTATCATAAGATCTCTGTCCTCATCAAACTGTGAAACAGAACTGTGAGATCTGGACCAGTGAAATGGTTCAGTGGGTAAAGGTGCTTTTCACCAAATCTGACAACTTGAGTTCAAATCCTCCAGAACCCACAATTTCTACAAGATCTGCTGTGTCTCTACAAACACTGACCTTCACGGGACAAACATTTTATTCATTTATGTATGTGTGCTCACATGTGTGAATAGATGTTGTAGGGAGAGCAGGTTCTTTTGTTTCGTCCCACCCGGCTAGTTTAGACCCAAAATAATCACACAGAAACTGTATTCATTTAAATACTGCCTGGCCCATTATCTCTAGCCCCTAATTGGCTAACTCTCACATATTAGTTTAACCCATCTCCATTAATCTGTATCGCCACTTGACTGTGACTTACTGGCATGAGTCTAACCAGCGTCCATCTCGGGCAGGAGAACCATGGCGTCTGTCTGTCTCTGCTTTCTTCCTCCCAGAATTCTGCTCTGTCTTCCCCTCCTACCTGAGTTTCGCCCTATCAACTAGGCCAAGGCAGTTTCTTTAATAATCAAATGAAAGCAACACAAATACAGAAGGGCCTCCTACACCAAATAGAGACCAGAGGCTGACATTTGGCTCTCTTCCATAGTTCATGTTCACCTTCCTTTTGAGACCTGGAGCTCACCCATCTTGTCTAGACTGTCTGCCCCCAGTTGCTCATCTTAAAATAAACATTTTAAAATTGAGAAGTGGCTCGCTGGTTAAGAGCATTTGGTGGCTCTTCCAGAGGACCTGGGTTCCATTCCCAGCACCCACTTGTTGCCCAACAACCTAGTCCCCAGGTGTTCATGCTTCCTTCTGACTCCCACAGATGCTACATGCATGTGGTGCACAGACATATATGCAGGCAAAGCACCCGCATACATAAAATAAAATAAAATAAAAACAAAGTCTCAAAACATTTTTAAAGACAAGCATCTCACCTAAGAGACCAGTTCTAAAACAGCTGGAGCCATAGAAGCTTCTGATTTTCTTTACATTCAGTGTGTGTGTGCACGCGCACTACAGAGGTCAGAGGACAATTTGTAGGAGTCCAGGCATTTCTTAGGCCATTTGGGTTTCCGTGGCTTGAACTCATGCTGTCAGGCTCAGCAGGATGTTGCCTTCCCCACTGAGTCATTTTGCTGGACCCAGACTTCTGATTTGATCTTGAGATACTCTCAAATGCCAGCGCCCCAGGAAGGAGCCATCAGATAACCCAAAGGGATTGTCAGCCCCAACCTCACCTGCTGCCCCTCAAAAAATACTCTCCAACCCAGGACAGGGCTCCTTTGGTCCTCATCCTCCCGCTGTCTGACTGAGGGCAGGTGCACCTGCAACCCTGTTGCAGTCAGGGTTGCCATTCTGGTAGGAAAATAACCTCCATCCTCCACTCGAAATAACACCTGCGAATCCTCATGCAAGCTTTTTGCATTTCATATTTGGGTTTGAAACCCAGGTCCTGGGCCTTATTTGCTTGACCTAAGTATGTGCTTTAGAAGATCAGTTTGGGGTGGGGGTGGGGAGCCACAGACTGGGGAGAGAACCCGGTTGGTTAAGTGCTTTCTACACAAGCGTGAGGACCCAAGTTTGGATCCCTAGCACACACGTCAAAAGCTGGGCGCGTCGGTGCACTGTGGTGTGCGTGCTAGCGGAAACAGATGGGAGCAATCCCTGGGCTCTTGCACTGCACAACTTAGCGTAATCAGCAAATTTGGGGGTTGAACAAAAGACTTTGTCTCAAAACCACAAAGTGAAAAGTAGTGGAGAAAGACACTCGGGAGCACGTATACACAGACACAATAGAAACACCACGCATGCGCACATGCCTCCACATGTTTTTTTGTTTTTGTTTTTGTTTTTGTTTTTTTTTTCCCCACTTAACTCCACAGACCGATTCACACCCTGCGTTGCTCCTTCTCCCGCTCCTCATTGGATTGACCCTCGAATGAATGATAGCTTTTAAAGTACAAATATTGATTTCCCTCAAGGCTTGTTATTTTCAAGAGGGTCTCTCTGCGAGGTCATCTCCCATGCTCATGAGTCAATCAAGGTTCTGCCAGGGACCCCAGGGGTGCCAGAGTCTTGACTCATAATGAGCAACCCTCCTCGCTGGAAGTCCCTGGAAATGAGTATGAGGGCAGTGGCCCCCAAGTGAGAGGGTGGACAGGAGACAGCCAGAAACGTGCTAATAAATCACCGCAGCGCCTCAGTCTCCATCGCGGCAATTACCGGGATCGGTTGTCTCCGTGGCTCCTTAGTCACGGCTCTGATTGCTTCTCTCAGATGAAGACAGACCGGGTAGATGCCAGGTGCATGCAGGCATGTGGTGTCAGGGAAATTAACCACGGCACATCCTCGGCCTTCTTATACAGACATCCCCAGGGTCTCAGCGAGGCTGACAGGAGAGTGTAGGTAGAGTGGAGGGGAAGCCCATGAGGTGTAGGTCGTATTAGTAGGACTTTTGCTGCTGCCCTTTTTCCAGTCCCTAACCATGAATGGGGTATGAAGCCAGGTTCCCCACTGGAGCAGGCTAAGCAACAGTAAGTTTGTACAACTCACAGTGCTGGACCCCACCTCGGGGCTCCAGAGTGGACCCCTAAGCATTACATTTCTAGCAGAATTCTAGAGTGCTACGGTTGTCACGGGTCTAGACATCGCTCCCCCGCCCCTGAGAACCACTGGGGATACTAGTCAAGATCGTGGACCCTGGGACCAGGCTACGTAACTTTTGGAACGGCTGTCGTAATGCACCAGCTGTGTGATTGTAAGCCATTTACTTAACCTCTCTATGGCTCCATTCCTCATCTTGAAAGGAGGGATGATAATATTAGCATTTAGCCCTTGGGGAGTTTGTAAACCTTCAAGACCTTGGAAACATTCAGAAAATGCCTGTGTCAGAGAACATAGCCTCTTGGGACTGTGACCAGAGAAAGCCATGTCTCTTAGATCTAATACCTGCAGGTCCCAGTGAAATCACTGGGTTGTTTTAACTATTAGCCTTCGATCCCATCTCTGGTGTCCAAGAACAATAATGTCCAGCTCAGTGCCAGGAGGGGGCTGGACACACCCATACCCATCAACATCCTCTTCTCAAGCTGCCTGGCCTTTCAAATGAGATACAATGGGACCTGGTGAGCCAGGGACTCTGGGGTCGCCTTGCAAATAAGGCCTCTGGCCTGATTGTTGCTCAGGCCTCCGGCAGCCTCATGCTGAGCCCTGCTGTTCACAAGTTACTTGTTACTCCGTTCCAAGTGCTTGTTTCAGTTCTGAAGATCAAGCTCAAGACCTTGTACATGCTAAGCACATGCTCCACCATGGAGCGATGACCCTAGCCTCTTGACGCCATGTTTTCAATTGCATCGTTTTATTTATGCTTTGTGGTGTCACTAGTAGAGAGAGGAGGGCAGTTTTTGAGATTTGGAGATCATGTTCCACCTCATTTTACGGCTGGATTTCTCTTGCTGCTTTTGCTGTGCTCTGCACCCCCCAGGTAGCTGGCCCACAGGCTTCCAGGAAATTCTTGCCTCTGCTTCCCATTTGCTACAGGAAGACTGGGAATACAGATTTGCGCTATCACATCTGGCTTTTTTGCATGAGTTCCAGGGGTGGAACGCAAGTCACGAGGCTTGAGTGGGAAGTACCTTTCCTGTTGAGTCATCTGGCCGACCCCTTGAAGTTACATATTTAAAAATGATTCGGGAGGAGATGGAGCTTGCTTCCTAGGTAAAGTGATCGCCATGCGAGCATGGTGACCTGTGCTTTGAGCCCCAGCACCCACATAAAACGCAAGAACAGGTGTGCCAGCTGGGCGGTGGTGGTGCACGCCTTTATCCTGGCACTAGTGTGCCCCCTTCTGTGCAGCTCTCAAGTCTCGCCGGGTGCTGGTTGTCCCTAGGACCTGAGAGAGGTTCTGGCCTTGGACCTCTGGGACTAGGCCTGGTGTTCCTTATAGTCTGGCTTTCCTCTCTGCTAATGTGCGTGTCCTTCCAATGGGCCTCTATGCAACGGAAGTGATTCCAGGACCGTCAGGACCACACAGACAGACCCTGTCTCACACTACCCCCCCCCTTCCACAATTGAGATGAAGAGTAATTGAGGAAAATGTCCAATAGAGATCCTCAGCATCTATATACTCACATGCATGCACGCTCACACGCACGTACGTATGCATACACGCCACACATACCTGTGCTCACACACACTTAGCTGACCAAGAATGTCTGATCTCAAGGATGCACTGTGCCACCTCCCTAATTTTGTGTGCACATTAACATAAGGGTTACGGTGGGGTCCCTGGGGAGCAGGTGAGCTCCCCAGGCCTGGAGGTGGCTTCTGTAATAGGCATCTGCTCTCCGTGGCTGGCAGTAGGCTTCACAGTACAGAATGACTCCCTTTGGAAATGAGCTTCTGCACCATCCCCCTCCAACACTGCTCACCGACTTCCCGGAGAAATGATGCTCATGGCAGTGGCTTCTCCTACAGAACGTGGTTATTGATGTATAATATATCTTGCCATCTCTGCTACAGATCTATGCTCCCAACCTAACGGTCAGACGAGCAGCCCCAAGCCACACTACAGACGTGACAAGCAATGGTAATCAAAGTCTGCTTTTTCTCCACAGTGCTCCTTCCTGCCGAAGTTCTCCATCCACATAGAAACCAAGTACGAAGACAACAAAGGCAGCAACGACAGCGTGAGTAGCCATCTTGTAGTCCTCTGACCCTGGGCAGCTTGCAAGTCTCGGCCTCTGAAGGTCACAGTAGCTCGCCCGGTCCTGGTCTGTCTCTGGGACCTGAGAGAGGTTCTGGCCTTGGACCTCTGGGACCAGGCCTGGTGTACCTTATGGGTTTCCTCTCTGCTAATGTGTGTGTCCTTCCAATGGGCCTCTCTACAACGGAAGTGGTTACCATGAGAAGTGGAGAGAACCGTGGAAACTCAGAGTTCTCTGATTCCATTTCTGACTGCACCTCTCCAGTGCTGAGATCACAGGGCATGGGCTGCTACCACACTCAGCTCTGAGCAAACACCACTACTCATTGAGAAGGGTATGCCAAACACAATGGTCAATAACAGGATCGGGAATGGGAGATGCTTGGGACATGCTTGCTATAACAGTATTCGCCGGGACCGACCTGGCTGATACCTGGTCATTTCTGCTTCTTGAATTATGACAGGCAAGCTGGACTCCTCAGGTGATGGCAAACTATTTTATTTTGGTTTTTGTCGGTTCTCTGTTCATAGGTATATGTGGATGATGTATCTGCATGTGTGTGTGTGTGTTCACGTGTGAAGGGGTGCCCGTGTGCATTAGGACACATATGCGCGTATGTGATTGTGTGTAGATGGAGACCTGAGGTTGATGTCAAACGTCTTCCTGGATCACTCGCCACTTTATTCATGGGGCAGCATCTCTCAATTGAACTCAGAGCTGTCTGATATAGCTAGTCTGGCTAGCCCCTTGTTCCAGGGAGCTTGTGTCTGTCCTCTAAGGCGGACTGCCACATCCATTCCACATTTATATGAGTCCCAAAGACTAAAGTCTGGTCCTGGCCCTTGTATGGAGTTTTTTTAGTCACTAAGCCATCTCCCAGTCCAAACTACTTTCCTACTTCCTTCCTTCCTTCTTTTTTCTTTTTTTTTCAAGACTGGATTTCTCTGTGTAGCTCTGGCTGTCCTGGAACTCACTCTTTATACCAGGCTTGCCTCAAGCTCACAGATCCACCTGCTTCTGTCTCCTGAGTGCTGGGATTAAATACATGTGCCACCACTGCCCTGCCAAACCACTTTCTTTATAAATAAAGATTTGTTGGTACCCAGTCACACTCATCCAGTACATATGATGCTTCTTATCCACAAAGATGAGTGATTATCATATGACCCATAAAACCTTGCTTGACCTTTCCAAAAAAAAAAAAATTGAGTACTCGATTGATCTCCCTGCATGTGATCTTGGCCATATACCTGCTCCAGAGTTCCTGGAACTTGCTAGGGAGAATAACATCACTGACTGGGGTACTCTCCTGCCACCCGGTTCAGGAGCTCCACAGTGAACATCACCTCAGTGTGGTTACACAAAGGATCATGTAAAGGAACCATCCCTGTCTACAACCTAAAATCTACACACTTTGCTGGCCAGCTTTATCAAAACCACAGTGTCTAAAACAATGTCACAGAGTGTACATGCTAATCTTGGCAAGTGTGACCTTTTCTGATTGGAAAATTAATACACAGTTTTTATTTTGGTTTCTTTCTTTTCGGTTTTTCAAGACAGGGTTTCTCTGTAGCTTTGGAGCCTGTCCTGGAACTAACTTTGTAGGCCAGGCTGGTCTGGAACTCCTGCCTCTACCTCCCGAGTGCTGGGATTAAAGGCATGCGCCACCACCGCCCAGCTAATATACAGTTTTTAAATCTTAAAATGTACAATGAAGAAAAAAGCTCCTAAATGAAAGAGAAACCAAGAGTAACCCCGTGATTCAGAGATGACTACCTACATCCCTTGACTCACATTACAAGATATTGGTGATTTTTTAACCAGTTCCTCCCAAATTGAATCATACAGTATGCTATTTTTAACACGGCATGGGGTACTCTTTCCCACTTGAGTATCTGTGTGGGCCGGAGGTTGACATTGTGTCTGTTTCTCAATTGCTCTCCATCTTATTTTCTGAGCACACTTCTCTCGCTGAACCTGGAGTTCTCTTACCTTGCTAGGCTGCCCCAGGGAACTGCCTGTCTCGACTTCACTAGCACTGGGGTTACAGGCAAGCGGAAGGTTCTTGGGCCCAGCTTTCCTTGCTAGTGCTAGAGTTCTGATCTCAGGTCCTTGTGCTTGGACAGCGAGCAGTTTGCGTCCCGAGGCATCCTCTCCCCAGCTCTTGCCTGTGGTTTGTAAGGTCTACACTGCCTTCTCCACTTCAGTCCCTGCTGCTCGCTGGAGATTGACAGGAACTTGAGTGTGCTGACATAGCTCTGGGAAATCAGGAAAAGCATAGTGAGAACCAGATGCCAGAACTGCTCTGCCAAGCACCGCTTGGGGGGGGGGGAAGATGTGGGTTTGGGAATGGAGAGATGGGTGGTTCAAAGGTTAAGAGCACTTACTACTCTTGCAAAAGACCCGAGTTCATTTGTCAGCACCCATAATTGGCTATCACTCCAGTTCCATGGGATCAGACATCCTCCCTCTTCTGGCCTTCCTGGGCATTGGGCATGCACATGATACACAGACATACATGTAGGCAACATACAAAATAAAAATAAAAGTAATTTTAAAAATAGTCCTTCCAAACAAATTCTTTTTCTCGGACTCTTTTTCTCTGAGTTCCATTCCGCGTGAGTTAACTCACAGCAGCTCTCTCTCAGTGTATATAGATGGCAGAGGGGGCGTCTTGAACCTCACAGATTGGCAAGGCCCCTGCAATCTTCAAGCTTCCCACGCTCGCCTCTGCCTGGCCCCGCTGTCGGCTCTCCATGCGTTACTCCTGGGGTCACTGGAGCAGAGAGTCCCAGCTCCCCTTGATCACGCCCCACACTTTGCCTCTGCACCCTTCACTAGCTTCCATCAGCAGCAGCTCTTTAATGTTGATTCCAGGAGGAAGAAAAGGAAGGCTGTGCATTTCACTCGTGCACCCAAACACTTGCAAATCATAAGCGCGTATTTATCTAATTTTAATGATGACAAGGTAGCTCTGCTCAGTCAGGATCAAGTCCAAAGCCGTAAGCCCGTGCATTGTTCAGCCACTTCCTTGTCCTGCCCGGAGTCTAGGAGGCAGAATGTAGAAGGCAGTGTGTGGTGGGTATTTGGCTCATTATTTAATAAATTCGGTTCACCTCTGCCTCTTCTATGTACATGGTCTTATCACTCAGCTGCCATCCTTCGCGCGTCTATCCGTGCCATTTCCACCCCTACCTGCCAAAATTTTAATGAAATGGATGCTGATAAGAAGCAATAATTAAATTGAAAGACTCTGGTGATAATCACATTGATTAGTGGCTGAATGGAGTACATGTTGCTATCTTATTATCAGTTATCATCTCAGTCATAAATGTGATCCAAAACCCAGTAAAAACACATTTTCAGAATGACTAGACAGAAGCATCTTCTCATTAAAGAAGAAGCTGGTAAGTGTATGTTTTTGTAAACCTGCAAACTGGTTCCATCAGCCGGGACACAATGGGGAAGCTGTCTTAAATTGAGGCCCGTTTATTTCATGCACAAACTGATGGGAACTATTTAGGCCTTAATTAGCGCCGGGGAGGATGGGACCATGCCAGGGCAAGGTTCTGTTGTTTGTTCAAGGCCATAAATCTAGACTGGAGAGAGTCGGCGCTCAGCACTGCCTGGCTCGGCTGAAGGGGAGACCACTCCTGTGACACCTGCTGCAGGGTGACAGTGTGCCAAGGGGTTAATGAGGGCAGCCTGGCCTCTGCTTCCTCTTCTAAACAAAGCAGGCACTATGCAAAGTAGCAGTTCTCAGCCCTGGCTGTGCGCCGCACTCACCTAACCTAGCTAGCTTGTTTGCTTGTCTGTTTGCTCCAGGCTAGCCTTGACATCCATACCCAGGCCGGCCTCTCTTGGACCATCTTCTTCCCTCAGCCTCTTAGCTGCTGGGATTATAGGTATGTGCCACCAAAACCCAGCTCACCTGAGAACTTGTTTATTGCTAATACATTTTGTGTGTGTGTGTGTGTGTGTGTGTGTGTGTGTGTGTGTGTATAAGAGCATGAACGTACCAGTGTGCACAAATGGAGTCCAAGAATGGCCTGTAGGAATTGCTTCTCTCTTTTCTACCATGTAGGTTCCCATACATCAGGATCAGTGGCAAGTGTCTTTACCCGCTGAGCCATCTCACTGAGAAGTCTTAACTACTTAGGGCCCATCCCTCTGGGGCTTTTGTTTATATGGGGACAGGTGCAGATTGTTCAAACACAAAGAATCATGGGATACTCTAGAAAGCTGATTTCTCTAAATGGGTTCACCCCATCCGTGGCTGAGCCTCCTCTGTTCCCTTGATGGGAGGTATACAGGATCTACCACCCTCAGCCACCGTGATAGCCTAATCAGCGATTCTAATGATGGCTTTGTGCTGAAGTCATCCTGAAGGCTGAGCAATCCTATGCTCCTGTCCCCACCCAAGGGACCATGATCTCACTGATCACAGGTGGAATCTAGGCATTACTATTTTTAACACCCTTCCAGGTGGATCTAAGGGGCAAAAGAGCTGAGCACCAACAGATTTATGTATAAATATTTAGTGAAGCAGGCTGTCCAAATGGGTCCACTTCTTCATACCCATGAAAACAGAAACATGGTTTGGGGAAATGATTCAGGCTTGTAAGCACGAGGGCCAGAGTTTGGAACCCCAGAAACACGCCTAAATGCTGGGTGGCCATGGAAGCCCACGTGTCATGCTAGCCTCAGGAGGTGGAGATGGCTCCTCAGAGCGAGCAAGCTGGCTAACAGTAAGACTAGCCATATCAGAGAGCCAGTCAGGTTTGGTTAAGGAACCTGGCCTTGAGGCTAAGGTGGCAGGGTATTCCAAAAGGAACCCAACATCAATCCACACGTGTGTGTGCGTGCACAAATACAGATACACAACTCACACACACACAAGTACAGATACATTCACACTTAAGAATGGGGGGGGTGTTGCTTTTTGTAACCATCAGCTATATGGGTTATCAAGGACCTAATTC